CTTGAGAAATCATAACCTATCCAAATACAAAATTTCTCAATTACTTACATAAGTACTATTCTGTATGAGTGTAGTGTTTGCGTTTTAATTATAATTTTTTCATATCATTGAAAACGAAATAGATATGGGAGTACTTATTAATTTATATCTATACACATATACATTATATTATTATTATTATATTGRGGGCGTATGCATTTTTAAGAGAATCCAGAAGCTGCAGTTCATCGGTATTGTCCATGAATTGGCCCTATAATATTTAGCTAAATTTCTTAATTTCCCAACCCTAACAGAAAAATACTCTTATAATATATATGCATAATTTTATGATTTTCTGCAATCAAATAATTGACATCAGTTTTTATTTATATTACGATGATAAACAACTAAAACTGATGTGTTGCGTATAACGAAAACCTTTGAGATCACTCAAGTCTTTTCGATCTTCTTAACACCAAGTAAGCCAAAGTTTTATTGGCAATTAAATGGCTTTTAAATAATGTTTATTGCAGTTTCATAAGTTATTTTCGTGTAAATGAGGTTTGAGGATGAGATGATGGAACGTTAACAAGAACGCATTTTAAATGATTTTTATCTCTGAGCTGTCGTAGACTACGATATCGGCKATTGTTTATGACGTTTTAAATAATGTAAGAAGTGACTGCAAAACAGACAACACTTAACTCGAATCTTTTTGASTCGATATCGATAATACCGAATTTTAATCAACCAAAATGCAGTTGGTTGAAATTTGTAGTTCTTCTAAATAAATCATACAGGTCAAAGAAGATCCTCCATCAATCGATGGCACTTATTTGAAGTTATTTCTAGATCTAAATTATGCATGAAACTCTAATCACTAGAAGTACGTGAATATCCCTGCCAACCACTGCTACCCGCTTGTGTCAAATATTTCAATAAAGTAAGTGAATCTTATGTGATTTTTTCTTAAAATAGTTTGCAAATAATTACTTCATTTGTTTTTATACCATTGGAAATAGCAGCTGCAGCAATATCATCAGAAGCAGCAAATATCAATTATTCAGTAAGTATGTGAAAAAGTGTACTATGAAATTGGACTGCGCAGTCTAATATAATACGCAAAAATAAATACATACATACATATGCACATATGAATTGAATAGCAGAAACAGTCAAAAACGCAGAATCGTGGGTCGTGTCAGCTGATTCGACCTATCTTATGGGCGCGCAATGTAAGTGCCCAGTGAAAAACGCTACTCCCCTCTCTCTTTGACATCGGATGACGTGAGAATCTACACCATTTTGGTTTTTGCCGTCTAAACGTGTCAGCTGATTGCTCTCTCACAACCCAGGGTTGCCAATATCTATATACTGTAGTAATTATCAACTTTTATAATTCAATCTGTTCAATATGTTTGAAACTTTCTTAAAATAACTCAAAATTGGAGTCGAATGCTATTATTTGTAAATATATAAACTATTGTTAATAGTTTGTTTTCAGTTTTGATATTTTATATTATAAAAAATTGTAATTGAAAACATAGATGTGTACAAAACTATATATGCGTATTGAGCAATGGCAACATTTTGCAAATGAAAACAAACAAAGATGACTGATTTCTGCGTTTTTACCACGTTTTTCACTGGGCACACATTTTACCGATGAGGAAGGAAAAGGGAGGAAGGCAGTAGCGTTTTTGACTGTTCCTGTTATAATGCTTTTAAGACGGCCTGCATAATCCAATATTTAAATGATCAAATAATATTTATCTCTTCTTTTATCTTATTATTTTTATTTATTTAATCTTTGCTTTCACAGTAAATTCTATTTGTATTTAATATATTTTATTTTTTCAGATAATATTAATCCTTTCTTTTCGATATTACAAATTCCATGTAAGTATTATTTATTTTCAGGTTTTAATAACCTTTATTATATTTTCAGGTATTTGTCTATTCATGTTTCATTTTTTGCACTGTTTTATTTTCAGCTATTAATAATTATTTTCTTTAATAAATCTTTTTTCAGAT